AAAGTGGGACTATAAGGTACATCTACTCGGGTTAAACCGACAAGTCAGAACACAAATATTCAAATTAAAAGTCTGCCCCTATGTGACCATTTCAAAAGGCAGAACGTCATGTCTAATTTACAAAAGCTGGAGATAAAGCAGTTTCCATCAACATTAAAATTTGTGTATAAGTGTTATTTTTCAACAATGGAATTTACTGATTGCAAATAGGTGTTTAGTTGGCTGTCCAGGCATTCTACGACACCATAATGTCAAACATGAATCACTCGTTTCTACAAGGGTAAGGTTAGTTGCAAAAAAAGACTTTTCAATAAGTTTTTCATGTAGCTGTAAACCATAGCTATAAAGCAATTTTCCATGGTTTCAATAACTAACTTTCATTTTTTGTTATTTCTATATGTTTAAAATTTATGCATACTTACAAGATTGGCCTTGTCCTGAACAATCATGATTTGTGGCCCTGGAATACAACTGCCTGTGTAGCTTGTGTGAAGACTCAAATCCTTGGCCAGAATATTTATATAGGGAACGAAAATGTCGCAACAGCATTGCACTGTGGTCCACGACAAGATGTCCGTAGTCCCCTGTGCCAAGGTGATGGCCAAATAATTTCTTTAACAGAAATCCCCACTCTTTGCACTGAAACAAAGACCATGAATAAATGCAAAGTCATCTTCCAATATGCTAAGACAATGGTTGAATGGGAACTTTCACAACAATTCCTGATTACTACAGTAGCGGCCCTAGGGATAGCAGCACTTGTGCACAAATACTGTAATTTGGTAAATGAAGGACTGTCACTACTACAAAGGCCAGCAACTCAGTTACAAAAAGAATACAATGTTTTGAAAGTGAAGAGAAGAAACCTAGAACCTCTGTGTTACCTGGCATAATGTTGGATCACATTTTTTGCAATGCCTTTTGTCAATGATACATCAACAGTAGCAGCAATGGTTCTTCATGCCATTAATAACTTAAAATTCTAGTTCCAGCATGGGTATTATTTCCTATACAAAGAAAAATACAATAAATTTGTAACCCCCTTACAAAAACCCCTGTCTTAAAAGCCACAGAGTATTTTGTTACCTTGACATCATGGATGTCTATCAACTGTTCCTCATGCTGATTAAATACTTTATCACGTATGGTAAGGGCAATGTCTCTCCAATCACAACAGACCTGAAATTAATATTTGGCAGGGTTATTATTCAGTTGAAGACCAGAGCCATGCAAATGGTTTTTTTACAGAGGGGCATGCAGGCATACCTGCAGATCTGAAATAAATCATTATTGCTACGATAAGAGATTTGTAGATGTCTACTTGTACATGTATGTTTAGGTACTTCTCCTACATACATACACACATAAACTTTATTTCACCTTTGATTTACGGAGTAGCCATAAACACTAATATCTCCAAGAAGATAAATGTCCTATGCTAATAATTAACTCCCACTCCCTACTATACAGACATGTACATGTTTACAGCTGATCACAATTTAAAATTTAGTTGGCTGATATAACATTTAAAATCATGGAGATTCAGGAGTATTCTCAAATTGCCAGGTAGGCTATCCCATGCTTTTGTGGCTGAGTATCTATAGGAGTGTAGGTCATAGGCAGTAGAAAGCTGCTCAGGAAGACTGAGAATGTTGGTACCTCATAAAGAATAGGGTAAACACATTTTTAAGTAGACTGGACAATTTGAAATATTTAGACATTTAAAGAGTACAGTTAAAATGAGCTTTTGCTCATGATTGGCCTTAAAAAAAGCTGGCATTTCCACCTTAGAAAACTTGTATAAGTGAAGGCTAATTAACATCTGATTTTACTATTTCAATCACTAACAGAATGGATCAGGCTTGACAAATCAGACTAAAGGGAATGGTGATAATAATTTCAATCCCTTTTTGATGCTTAAATGGTAACTGAAATCTTAGCAGCATCACGTTCCTTTCCCAAACTGTGACTACTTCTGAGAACAAATTAAAGGAGGTCTTCAGGCTCACATATTGATTAGCTTTGCTTAAAATGGCACTCACTGGTCAAAAATTTTAAAACTGCCTGTAACATACAGGGTAGTACAGCTGTATTTGAAATCTGAACTTCAAATGCCGTTTGTCTCATAATAATAGTTTACCTTCACAAAAAACTGAATTTGAAGCTCAGCTGCATATGTTGAAAAAGTATCATCCCTGGTGTGTTCTGGTAGCATTTCTTTCTTCGATTTCTTCCTCTTTTTCTGCTTTGGCTCATTAACTGGCACCTGGCCTTGTGCTAACTCCATGTACCTTTCATCTGCTTCTCTTTGCTTTAGAGCCCAATACTCTTTATGGTTTTCCAAAAACAATTTAAACTCTAAAAGATAAAACCAGTGCAGATTTAACTTTAAGAAATTTGGCTGTCATAGCAAAATGTACACTTTACAAGGGCTTTTTGTTTGTACCATAGACAACTTTTCTGAAAATTCTTTTACAGTAATCTGATTTTTACTCCTTTCGAAAAATTGTCTCTTCAGGGGTAGGTATCACATATGGATGTATCTTCTGACCAGAACCACAAAGTACACACCACAGTTTTACACATCTTGTGTACAACTTTCCATGTCAAACTGCACAACAATAAAGAATTACAACTAAAAGCTAAAGTTTGTTTGCAAGATTAGTACCTTTTGTGTCCTCTAAGTTGACTGTTTCTTGTCCTGAGCCAAGATCACGTACAAATGTACCTTTTTGGAGTATCTCATTTATGAACTAGAAAAGGTGAAAATAAGTACTATTAGCTACTTTTACTTTCTATACCAGAACCAATCAAGGATTATAGGACTGCATTCGACCCATCAAGTTGTTCTCCAACCAAGACAAAAAAAA